TTTTATATACACACACACACACACACACACACACACACACACATGCTACTGTTCAAAAGTTTGGTGTCAGAAATTTTTTTAAAGAAATTAATACTTTTATTTAGCAAGGATGTGTTGAATTGGTCAAAAGTGACAGTTAAGACTTTTAGAATGTTACAGATTTTTTCTATTTCAAAGAAATGCTGTTATTTTGAACGTTCTATTCATCAAAGAATCACAGAAATAAATTACGTTTTAAAATATATTAAAATAGAACAGTTATTTTAAATAGTAAAATTATATTCACAAAATGACTGTTTCTACTGTAATTTTGATCAAACAAATGCAGCATTAGTGAGCAAAAGAGACTTGTTTCAAAAACCTTAAAAATCTATATTTATTATTTATTTTTGTAGCCAAGACTACAATGGGACTTGAAATGGGAAAGTGAGAGAAAAAATGAAAAATGAGAAGCCAAATTTCAGTAATCACACAGACTCACCTATGCCAATAACACAGACGTCAGCTCTCAAGACTTTGCCACTTTTTAGAACCACTTCTTTTAACTATTGAAACAAAAATAAAAATAAAAAGCAGTTTAACATTAATGTCATAGTTGCCAATTTTCTTACCACCATGACTTATAATACAGTGTCCAAATCTCATTATGTTCTTTCTTTAGGAAGAAATATTTATCAAAGTGTAATTTCATAATAGATCACAGTTCTGCTTCTTCTCAATTATATATTTACTTTGCTGACTGTGTGCTCACTTGTGTTATGAGTTCTGGCCTTTTAGCCCAGGGCCATTCCATTATTGCAAAAACCATGTTTGAAAATATTCAAAGCTAAGCAGTGCTACTGTGAGAGCAGATGTAATTAATCACGCTACAGGAACGAGAGCAAGAGAAAGAGAGGGACAGAGAGAGAGAGAGAGAGCCCTACACTTCACTGAACTCTTGTTTCTCTCACTTTCATGATACCTGTCCATTATGCCCTCGCATCTCCCACACTTCGTTCAACATGTAGAACTTCACCCTGTTTGACTCGAACAGCTGAAGAGAGAAAAAAAATGAAATAATGAAATGAGAGAAATACTACTTGAATATAGGTTTAATGTGGTTACAGCAAGGGATAATATACAGTCAGCAAATAATTTTCACCCTGTCAGAGTTTATTATGTAAGAAGAGAAAGACAGCACACTAAGAGAGATAAGAGAGGTGTGAAACTAGCATGAAACAGCAATGAGGGAAATTAGTATCAAGGACAACAAACAGTTATATAGTTTAATGTCATACACACTCTTTTTTTATTTAAATTGTATTTATTTAAACATGCTTAGCTTATAAAATTTGTTAAATTAATGCCAAAGCAAATGCAACTTATTTAACATTTACTAAAATATATTGTTAAAACTTAATAATTTTTTTTAACATATCTACTCAGAATATATACACCAGAGATGCCGAACCAGGGCCCCATGACCTTTGATTTGACCTTCCATGCCATATCGTAAGAGGGGAAAAACAGGAAAAAAAATGTTTTTCTACTTTTTATTTCTAATTCTCTTTATTTATTTATAATTTATGATTTTGTTTTAATATTTTTTGTTTTATTTTTGCATTGAAATATAGAGAATACAGTATAAGTGAATTTAATTTTTTTTTAAATTACAATATAGCTGGGTATAATGTAAACATGACCCTCAATGAAATTAGATTTTTGAACCTTCATAAAAAAGTTTGGGCACCTCTGATGTACACCATTTAACAATTATGTAATGCTTAAATCTTAATACTCTTATTTATTTCATTCTATATATCTAGCTATTTTCTGTCACCTTCATCAAGGCTTTTCCCACTTTCTCTCCGAGTGCTTTACGGAATGGCACGGCCTCTATGCCGATCACAGACACTGAGTGGGCCTTATCTGTGAGAGCTGCGGCCACCTCCATACCTGAACACAGGACAGTGCATATAATCATTACCAACACTATGGATATATGGAAAATATATAGTATTATGTTGTCTAATGCAATGACACGGATTCATCTTAAATTGTGGCTTAAAGGTGACATATCATGAAAATCGGACTTTTCCAGGTTTTAAGTGCTATAATCAGGTACACGGTGCATCTCGCAACCAAGGAAACATGAAAAAGATTAATCTAGTAACTTTGTTTTGGTAAGCCTTTTTCTGCAAGCGTCTGGAAAAACGAGCGCGTCTGATTTCACTCCCCTAGTGACGTTGCAAAGGGATCTCATTATAATATTACCGCCCCTTAATCTGTAAGTTTCCACCCAAGGCTTTTGCAAGCGACAACGGTGTACCAGTCCAGTTCTAATGCTAATGTTCTGTCTTTGGCTGCACAGACGAGCACAGAACACTATTTACAGTCCCAGCCTCAGAGGAGACAAGAGAGCAGTGGATTTATTGATTTATTTACTGTATATTGCTCTTATTGTAAAAAGGGGCATAATATATCTCCTTTAACACTTTTTGGAGCTATTAATGAACTACACAGAGAATACATACAGTATGTAAATTTCACATAAGCTCTTACCAATAAATGAGGTTCCAACTATGACAGCATTCTTACTGCTGGCGAGTGTTGCGATGCTGTTGGCATCTTCTGGTGTTCTGAGGTGAAACACATTTCCCACATCTTTGCCTTTGTAGCTCAGAGGTTTGGGTCTGTAAAGATAAAACTTATTAATAAAAAGCAACAACAACAGAAGTATTATTTTATTAATACTTATTATTATAGTATATTATTTTTGCAGAAACTGAGAAAGGTTTTTTAAACGACTCTAAAAAGTTAAAAAGAGCAGCATTTATTTGAAACTGAATTTTTTTGTTCAGTGTTTTGATCAATGTAATGCACCCTTGCTGGATAAAAGTATTCATTTCTTTAAAAAATAAAATGAAATCTAAACTTTTGAATGCAGGATCATTTGGTAGCTGTAGACATGTTTACCTGCTCCCTGTGGCAATGAAGAGTTTTCGATACTCCATTTTAAAACCATCCCGAAATGTCACAGTCCGTGTCTTCACATCCACAGAGACAATCTGTGAAGAAACATATGGCAATTTATGTAATTCTGCATATTAATTTGTAAAAATTACAGATTTAGACATCAATTATTTAAAGGGGTCATATGATGCTGCTAAAAAGAACATTATTTTTTGTATTTGGTGTAATGAAATGTGTGCGCAAAGTTGAAGTATTTCCTCAGTGACCAGCACCGATCAGCTCCAGGCATGACGAAGCGATATCGTCGTCTTTTGGAAGGCCAAACAAAGTAGTTTCGCTTTCACAACGAAGCACACAGCGCCTTCACGACATGGCGGCGGCGGCAACAATACTACAGCGAGAATAAAAGTTACGCCTTCTTTCTTTGCGTGAACATTTTGGTGGCGTTATGCTAATCTTCCCAGATAATGACGTAGGTATGTGGGGGCGTGTTAGAACGAGCCGTTTTAGGTAGGTGTGGCTGACTCTTAACTTTTATAAAGAATATTTCTTTGGATTTGAGACTTTAGTCTTTACAACTTTACAGATCTTCTTTATGCACCAAGAGCTTGTAACACTGCAAAGAGAAAGGAAAAATTGAAAACGCATCATATGACCCCTTTAAATAAAGTGTCATTTCAGTAACGGTACCAAAAGAATATCATAGAATACTTGGGAGCTGTTTCAAAATACCATAGTATTTCCATCGGATCACTATATTATGGTACCACCACAGAGTACTTTGTAATAGTTAAAAGACACAGAATCACATTTATAAGTGTTTTTCCTCAGTAAAGAAAACCATAGTACATTTCAGGTTAAGTGTTCTCACCTCTTTCTCTAATAGTATCTCTATGTCGTGCATTTGAAAGAAGTCAGATGAGCGCAGCTGAAGCTGCTCAGCTGTGCTCTCTAAACACTGAAAAAAGAGGGATGGGCATCAAATCAATATCATATTTGCTGAATTTTAGCACATGTGCGGTCAAATTAAAATCTTCTGTTGGAAAAGCAGTCTTATATTCATTTGATATTGTAAAACTTTGTTCCCACACTGTTCTATAGACTGTTCTGTGTACAAACCTTACTCAGTTTAGGCCTGTCATAAGGCAGATGTGTGTCCATGGTGCACATGACTATACGGTCAGTGAAACCCTCCTGCCTCAGAGTCTCAGCGCACACCAGACCAGCAGGACCTGAGTGAGAACATCAACAGAGGTCAAGAGGAGCATTGTAAGGTGGCACCTTCATCTTGAACGTTATTCTGAATATAAATGCATGATTTTATTTGATGCTTTGGATGTTATCTCTTACACTTTATCTTTTTTTTTTTTCTAACTTAACAAGCAGTAATAGCATTGCCTTGTGTTTAAAGATGGCATTTAACCTTTGGACCTATTAAGTCTGTTCCAAATGTAGAAAATCAGCTGCTTATCTAAGCTGTCATAAAACATTTATAAGAAATAAAAATAAAATCAGTTTGGGGCAGGAAATGATTTAATGAAATGGATAAGTGTAATTCGTGATGGCATATTAAATTACATTTGTACATTATCCAGTTTCATCACCCACAATTAAATAGACAACAGGTTTTATCAGATTTGAAATAGTTAACCATGGGTCATTCTAAACCTGGGCTTAACAATTAATTAATTAATAGGTATTCATAAGCTTACGTTTCACTTTGTACATTCAAAACCCCTGGGTTAACGTTCTTATTTGCGATTGAACAAACGCTGTACGTGATCTGTCTACACGCGGCGGAGGCTCTGAATTAGCTCTATATATTGAGCTATATATTCTATATATTGCTGTCTGCATTATCAAGTTTTCCTTAAGTGCACTTTTCGGACTTTAAAGGTAAGAATAAAACAGTCTTCACTCCAATTAACCTGTTTTCTGTCACCATTGAACATTTCCCCCTCAAACGCTTATAAACGCGCGTTGTTTCCGTTACTATCTAAGGGTGCTGTATGGAGTCAATATAATGCCACATACATATGCAAAATAATAAAGTTTTGCAAAAGAAAATAAAGTTTTGCAAAAGAAAAAGTTTTGCAAAAGAAACTAAAGTTTTGCGAACAAAAATGAAAGTATTGAGGAAAAAGTTTTGCAAAAGAAAATAAAGTTTTGCGAACAAAAATGAAAGTATTGAGAAAAAATAAATGTGCTTTTTGCAAACAAAAATAAAGAATTGCAAAAGAAAATGAAGTATTGCGAGAAAAAAAGAAGTTTTGCAAACAAAAATAAAGAATTGCAAAATATAAATGAAACAGCACAAAAGCAATGATTTTGCAATACATATTTTCCATGGCCATATCTACTAATTTATTTGCAACGCTGCTTTTATTTTGCGTTTCAGTCAAGTTTGAGCTTGCGATACCGTTTTTCCCTTTGCGCTTCACGTTTCTGCGCGTCTCGCTTTGTGGCACTGTTTTGACATGGGGGTGGAGTCAAGGGACGGGGGCGTGTACAACAGGCCTGGGCATGCCTCCCTGGAAGTGACGTCATCGGCCCGAGACGCAGCTCACTGATCCAGGCACCATCGTTGAGCAGAGGCATGCGGGTGGATTTATTAGTGGCGGATTATTTTCGTTTGCAAAACTTTATTATTTTGCATATACATGTGGCATTATATTGACTCCATAGTGCTGCTTTCACATCTGTGGTTCAAAATCAGCTCATGGTCTGGACCAAGGGCAACAAATTATACATTGTAGCATTTTCCTGCCGTTTTAAAATACTTGAAAAGGAGACACGCGATTGCGTGACATAGCTGTAATATTTTAACACAGCATTGTTTCAAACTGTAGTCTACACGAAATAGTCCAACTCTAACTAAAAGAGGTAAAAAGCGGTGCTGATGTAAAAAAAAATGGGGTGAAGAAGAACGACGATAACCCGGGCTAAGCGCATGGTGAAAAGCCATAATATGGCAGGAGGTAAATTTCAGTTTTACTGTGCACTGAAATCTAGGTAACGTTAGTCCTATATTATAGCTAAAGAGGTTACTGGATTGTAAAGCTGTCCACCTTATTTTCAACGTGGAAGTAAGCCGATTTCTGTGCATGTGTGAGATTTCCGGTTCATTAGCCGCTGCAAGGAAACAAGTTAACGAGAAGAATAACAAAGTGCAGTAAACGGTAAAACTGTATGCACTACAAACTAGTGTGTTCATAATTAAGATAATACATTAAAATAATATGGTAAGACACACCAGTTTGCAATAGCAAGCAGCAAAACGAGCTGTTTCGTACAGCTAAAAAATTGCTGGGAGCATATGACACCAGAAGCCAGACCCATTCAATTTACAAATGGCGCGCCCAGCCGCCCACTCTTACGCAAGTACGGGGAAAATAAGGTTATAGGCTATCAGAAAGCTACCCATATAAGCTGTACTCAAAACATCAAGGGTGAATTCACTAAATATTAGACACATGTTATTTCAGTGCAAAAACTGTTTATTATTACCAAATCCTGTTTAACCTCATATTGGCACAGTGCCATGAGTATTTAAATTAAATCAATGTCATTCTTTACAGAGTAAATAATCTCTGTGTGCATGAGACTTATTATAGATTGAACCTTATTTAAAGAAGTCAACACTATTTGCATGGCACAACTAATTTTGTTTTGTTAAATTTTAATATAAATGTCTGTATGTTTTTTAAGGATCGAGATTTATTCCTGTAGGACAACACAGACAGTGTATGGAAATAAACAACACTACCTAGTGAATTCACCCCTATGTTAGTGCATTTTAGTCTCATTTTATAACATTATGGCTGCAACCTGATCCGATAATGAGAACATGGCTGAATCCAGTGCTGGAATGGATGACAGCTGAACATTTTGACATGGCCTTTGACCGCCGCTGAGTCTGAAGAGCCTGTCAGGAAACAGATGATTCCCCACATCACCATTTACAACTGCTGTTAAATATATCGCTCTTTACACACGTACTCCAGAGAAAGAGAGACTCTTCACCTGCTTGTTTGCTCTTATTATCACCTTCTCCTTTTCGACTCTGACCTGAAATAGTGGGAAAAAATGAATTGACATGACAGATTATTACATAACAGAGGGATTTTGAAAACACCCCCGCAGCTTAGTAATGACACATACTGAGGTTCATTTTCTCTCCTCTGATGAACTCATATGTCCTCGGGGTGTATAAGGAGCATGTACTCCCTCTATGTCTTGTTGGGAATATGCTTTTTTTTTCAATTCAATAGGTCTCATTCGCTAGTTTTGCATAAACCTGTGAACATTTTCACACAAAAATCATGATTCATCAACAAGTGCACACTTATATTGTTTTCTAAATATTGGATCAAATTTAAATCGAAGTCAAACTGCAAATGCCCTTATGCCACTAGTCGGCTTACAAAAATTTTAAATAAGTAAATAAATAAGTTTTTTTATTAATATATGATAATTAAATGAGATACTTATTTTGTATAAATCTATCAATAAATATAAATTTATTTATAAATAATAATAGTATTAATATATTATGATTCATCAGTAAGTTCACACTTATATTGTTTACTAAATCACTAGCCAAACTCCTTGATGGTTTAAAAATGTTTACAAATAATTAAATACAAATTATTATTATTAGTATATGCTAATAGTATTACATATTATTAATTTTATATAAATAAATACATTTATTTATTTTTATATAATATGAATATCTTATGAATCATTAATAAGTTCTCACCTATTGTTTTCTAAATATAGGATCAAATTTAAAATAACTGCAAATATACTACACTGTAAAAAATGACCGTGAATTTAACGGTAAAAGACTGTAAAAATGCTACAGTAAAAACCTGTTAAATGGTTAACGGTAAATTCCCCTACTATATACGGTGAAAAACTGTATTGGACATTACATGTATTGGACATAAATTTTACGGTGATAAATAAAACATTGCTACCGTATTTATTACGGTAAAATTCCGGCAACTCACAGCTGCCGGTTTTTTACTGTACATTTTACGGAATTTTTTTTACAGTGTAACATTACAAGCCAAACTCTTGGTAGGCTTAGGATAATTCTATACAAATAATATACATTATGTTATAAATTATTTATTTATTTGCAAATCAATACTTTTTTTTTACAGACAGTCCATAAGAACAAGTGGACACAGTGAAAGTTCGGAGAGGAACTTCTGGAGAGGTTGAAGAGGAACTTG